TCTGAGTGATCTTTAGCCCTCACCTTGAGATTTGCAACCATGGTTTCCCCCAACAGACACTAAGGGGAAATTTATTTTACCTCAGAACATTAACAGCAAACTGTTTAGAATGTTAGGGAAAGGCCAGTGAGGCTGCATATGCAAATGACCTCTGTGTCCCGAGGCAAAGGCGAATCAGGCCGCATATGCAAATAACCTCTGTGTTCTGACTGGCTGTGGGGGGGAGAGGACTGTTTAGAATGTTGGAGGCAGGACTCAGACAAAGCAGCTAGTGGATAGGGAGACCCTCTGAATGACAGATCAGAGAGTGAACTGATTTTGGAGCGTGTTGGAATGTTCAGGGGAGTCCATGACCAAAATAGAATTATATATACCGGAGGATTCTGAAATAACTTTCACAGTGTACAGATCCAGTCTGTTTCATATTTCATCCTTTCTCCTTTATTGTGCTTTCCTGTCCCGTCCCAGATTTTCGGCTGAATTTGATTTTCGGACCTATGATAATGAAGGTGTTATATTGTATGCTGAATCTCCTGACTACACAGCATGGATTTTGCTTGCACTTCGTGATGGGAAGATTGAAATTCAGTTCAAGAATGAAGTAGTAACCAAAGTAACAACTGGTGGCAAAGCCATTAATGATGGCTCATGGCACATAGTAAGTCTTTTTTCAGTGCCAGGAACTTAAAATAAAATTGCTTGTAAGGGAGCAATCCCCTTTTCAAACAACTGTATAAATATGCTGTAGTAACTGACATCATTTTTACAAAATACTTTGATGACCTCATAATAGTTTACAGTTTAAATGCTTCAATTGTAGCTCTGCCCAAGATCCAGGGGAATACTTTCTCTTCATTCAGACAAATACATTATTTGAGAGTTTAGTGAGAGAGAAAATGCTGGAAATCTCTCCATTTAAACCAGATGTGAGGAGGAAAAACAACATGGTACAGCCCAATCTCATCAGATCTCGGAAGCTAAGCAGTGTTGATACTTGGATAGGAGACCATCAGGAAAGACTATGCAGAGAAAAGCAGTGACAAACCATCTCTGCTTCTCACTTGCCTTGAAAGCCCCTCACTGGGGTTGCCATAACAACTTGACAGCACTTACATAAACCAGATGTGATCCCAGATAGTTTTGAGCAGAAGTCTGTATAAGGGTCACTAATGTGTGTAATGTTCTTAGCCCGATATCTTTCACATCATACAAACTTGGAACAATGATGGTCAAGCCAGGCATAACTTTCACACTTTCACACCTGAAAGTTTTATGACAAGATTAATGCCAAGCCTCTCTCCATCCCCAGCTCCTCCCTTCCCCACTCCCCTTTCGTAACTGTAAGTTCCACTCTGTTCTATATCCACTCACTGAAAATGCAAAAGCCAGCAGTAGTCCAACCACATTTCTCTCACACGCCAAGCAAGATACATAGTTCCTGAGATCAAAAGGAAGCATCTAGTGGTCTTTATATTAACAATGTTTTAAGATAAATTTTAGGTGCTGCACAAGGTATGGATTCAATTAAAGCCCAGTTTTACCTTGTGGTTTGTAGTCTTTTCCCAGTTTGCTTTCACTTTCAGCATAACAGAAACCTTGTTGTGTTGAGGTTACTCTCTTTGACATTTACAAATATATCTGTTTCTTTTTACATTTAGATCTCAGTGGAGGAGCTAGAACACAGTATCACTGTCAAAATAGCCAAAGAAGCAGTGATGAATATTAACAGCCCAAGAAACCTTTTTAAGCCATCCAATGGCTTTCTGGAGACAAAGGTGTACATTGCAGGTCTGCCTCGCAAAGTGGACAACACTCTCATTAAACTGGTAATTTTTTTTCAGTGTTGATTATGGTACCTCCATTGTGACCTCTTCTCTCATACATACCTGTATCTGTTCATTTGTCACTACAGTCTGAGACAAAATTCATGTGACTTTTTTATTACTTTAAAATGTCACAATATGTGAAGTGAGTTGTGAGGCTTTACCTGAGGGTCTGGTGCGGAATTCTCCCTTTCAGTACATTTTCAAGTTCAGCTACTAGTTTTATTCTTAGAAGACAAACTTACAACACTTCTTTTGAATGTCTTTCTATAAATGTTACCAGATGATACTAGATACGGGCCAGAAAAATTGGCATTTACCATTAGCTTTAAAGTCATTCAAATGGCATAGATTGGAAAAATAGCTAAATCCTTTGTGGTATACATAACATATTTTATCTACATCTGAAAACTGCTAGTCACTTTGGTAAAAGCATAGGAGCTAAAAAGTGTTAACTGATTGGTGATTACAGGGTGGGGGAGTGGGTTAAGAAAGGCAGCTAAATTTGAGAAGAACAAATTTATAACAGTGGCATCTTCAGGACCAATAACGTTTAATTCTGGGTCTAAGCTTTTGTGTGCATGCACACTTATCAGAACAGGTGCATTTGCACTAGCAGTTTAATGTTGGAACGGCTGCTGGATTTGTCTGTGCTGCTGTAAAAAGTGCATTTGACAAGCAAAAATTGGGAGATAAATTACAGTGAAAATAACTAACTATAGTTTCAAGAATCCCAGGGGAATTTGTCATAAAGAGTAAATAGCAATGGCTGGTAAGAGCTGCTGCTTCTACATGAAAATTCTGCTGTGAAAAGCTGTTGATTTCTGCAATATTTCAAGTGGTGGACTTGGACTGGGGCTACCTGGGTTCAAATGCCTCTGCCGTTGATGTTCCCTGAAAGACCTTGAGGCAGTCACCAGCTTTCAGCCTAATCTGCATTACAGATTGTGAGGATAACATAGAGGAGGAGGAGAATTTATATGTTTATTTACACAAATGTTTGGCACATGGAAGCATGGAAAAGAGCCCTAAAAGGGAATGTAGGTATCAGATTTTGGCATGCCACCTGAAAGGAAACTAGATCTGCTAAACTGAAATGGCCAATCTGCCTGTGATCAAATGTCCATAGCCTAAATCTCCAACACTATCATCCTAAGCATCCCTTCTAAGACCATTGATTTCAGCTCTGCTTAGGATGTCTGCTTAGGACTGCAAGTGTTTCCCCAAGCCATGTGGCCAATGTAGTGGTCATAACAAGATTTAGTAGTGTATATAGGTTACTTAAGGGCTGCGGTGGCTCAGTGGTTAAGATGCTGAACTGCAGACCGGAAGGTCAGTAGTTCAGCAGTTCGAGACCCAAGTGCTGCATGACGGAGTGAGCTCACATCTCTGGCCCCAGCTCCTGCCAACCTAGCAGTTCAAAAGCAAGAAATTGTACTTAGATAAATAGGTACCACTGCAGTGGGAAGGTAACAGTGTCCCATGTGCCTCAGCGTTTAGTCATGCCGGCCACATGACCACAAAAATGTCTTCAGACAGCGCTGACTCTTCGGCTGGGAAACGTAGATGAGCACCACGCCCTAGAGTCGGATTCGACTGGCTTTCAAACAAGGGAAACCTTATAAGTTATTTACCATTCATTTGGGTAGATTTGTTACACACTGGTTTGGGAGTGCAGGAATCGGGACAACTGAAAGTCAAGCATCTTGTTTAAATTGCTCTGCAGAATGGACAGATCTTAGTCTGGTGTAACGGAAATCTACTGCAGGGTTTTTTTTCTGGAAAAGAGGTGCTGGAACTCTTAAGAGGGAAATGAAGTTTTCAATCCATGTACTAAAAACTCAAACTTTTAAACATTTTTAAAAATTTTGTTGAAGAGGTTCCAGACTTGCTCAGAGATCCAAATTTGGAAGGGAGCTACTTGCCTTGAAGCTAGCAATTGCCGTATTTTTGCTTCTTGGGGGCTCCTTGTTGTCTCAGAAAAGGTTATCTGAAGGTTCCTGCGCTGATTCTGGAACCCAGCCTCCTCTGTATCAGACATCACTCCCTTCCCCCATGTGAGTCAGAATCCCAGTCCATGACACTGACACCAGCAAGTAGAAAGGAAAATCTAAACGATTTACGCACAGGCTCTTTTGGTATACCAAACCTCCTATATTCCTTCTGTAGTCTGAAAGACGTTATCTCTTATATCAAATGCTAATATTGCAAAAACTAAATTGCTGTGGGTATTGTGCAATCTGCGTAATGTTTTTTTTAGAGAACTGTCAATGTAAGTGGAGAGCTGGTGTAACTGAGAACTGTCTCGCTTAAAGCTTGTCACAGCCATGATTTCGTCCACTGGCTTTTGGCAAACCACAGTCTCACAACATCAACATCTCATCAGTAATCTCTCCCTTATATATAAAGCCCAATGTTCCAATTCACACCAACAGTGTTTGGAGGCTTGAACTGTCAGTCAGAAGACGCTGGCTGGGTTGCCTGGCTGCTTTGTGTAGTCCCACCCACGTCAGCCCCGGCCAGAATGTTCAGGTCAGTCTGCTCTGGGCCTCTGACAGGAGAGGACCATCTGCAGACTGAGTGCAGGAACGGGGCTTCTACGGCTGGGCCGCTTCAGCCCACTCTTCTCTGATTGGGCCAGCGTGTCAAGGTCATTTGCATATGGAAACTGATTGGACTTCATTCCAATCCACACCTCAAACTCCCTCCCCCCCTCCGCAAGACAGTTGGCATTGTCAGTTGCATATGGGACCTGCTGTATTCTGAGGTAAAATATGTCCTCACTCACAACACATCACTTCCCCTTCAACAGAAACAAACCCAATAGCACAATCATGCCACACCACAAAAAAGACAGATCACACCACAAGCAGAATACCACAAGGCAAAAAATGATAGGAAACAGTGCCAGCAGTCACCCCATTTCTGCCACAGATCTGTACCTGAGAGCGCTTCAGAGGATAGTGTGCAGGTCCCAGGTTCGTGTTTTAAAAGCTGCCTGGGGGATTATGGACCATTCACACACTTTCAACCTTAACATACCTCATAGGGTAGTTGTGCAGATCATACGGGGGAGAGGAGAATGATGTCAGCTGCTTTGGTTCCCACTGCAGGGAAAGACTGCCCTTTCCCTAGGCAGAGGCTGGGGGGGGGGGATGTAAACCTGAAGACAGACAGGCAGATAAAGGTAGGCTGATGGTTGCCTGGAAAGGACATAGGGTTGCCAAATCCAGGTTGGAAACTTCCAGGATATTTTAGGGATGAAGCCTGCTGAGGGTGGGGTCTGAGGAGAAGGAAGAGGGGGACCTCAGACAGATACAATACCATAGACCCGACCCTCCAAATAAGCTGTTGCCAATCTCCAGGTGACAGCTGGAGAGCTCTTTAAGCTCTGGTGCTAATTCAAACTGCTGGGGATGTGTTCAAGGCCCTCTAAGCTGTGGAGTCCTGTGAGCAAAAATTCTACTTGGTGAGCTCCTGGCATTAAAGTTGTGAGCGAGCGATTTGTCTGCTGCATGAATTAGTTTGCTCTGTAGCCCTCCTTCCTGAGCTAAGACAAAACTCTGTGAGCCGGAGGCTAAAAAACTGTGAGCTAGCTCACACAAACTCAGCTTAGAGGGAACACTGGATGTGTTGCATTCTGGCAGGGGACACTGTGAGTCTAGAAAACGATTTATTTGAAGGGCAGTGGTGGTGGTGATGAGCCGCCCTCTGCAGCCCTCATTTCGCCGCCGCCACCACCCCCCCGCCTGACTAGCCAGGCCTTCTGGAGAGCACTTGAAGGGTGCAGTTAAAGGACAGTGGCGGCAGCAGCGATGAGCTGCCCACCACAGGTCCAATTTCACCCCCCCCCCAACCAGGCCTTCTGGGGATGGAATTAGGATGCAATAAAATGGAATGCTATTTGGAAATTACAAGGACACCTAACACTGGAAGTTATGTGGCATACAGAGTTTCAGTGTTCTTAAAACAATGTATTTCCTTTGTAAGAAAGAGCATCTGGTACCAGGAAACCTTCCAAGAGCTAAGTTTGGTTAATCACAATCCTTATCAGCTAGCTCTCCAAAAGCAAGGCGGAGGGAAGCTAGCTTCGCTGAGGTCAGAAAGGGTCCCAGTGTTCCCTAATGTTTCTAATTGTTCTAAAGTCAGATAAGCAAATGCAGTCACTAATATACATGACCAGTATAAGGAGAGACCAGTAGTAAAGTTAAGAGTCAAATGATGTGTCCATGATGTTACCTGTTTGGTACCAATGAGAGATTCTTTAATTTGTAAATTATATGTGATGTCACTTGGGGTATAAGACTTTCTGCCCTTCCTGGTTATGGCAGGATACAGCTTGGCGTCACTGGGGGCCAAAAGGTATTCAACCCTGTATCTCCTGTTTCATTGCAATAAACAGATTTATCTAACTCATTGGACTTAGACTGCCTGTTTCCAGTTTGGCCCTGGGAGCACACGGGCACAGATTTGTGCATCAGGTGGGATGGGATCAGTTCTGGGCTCTCCAGCCGCTCTGTTCACCTTATTCCTCCTCTTTCCCATTTCCCTAACCATTTACAGTATGTTTATGTTTGTGCAGCCAGTATCCCTATAATTTTGGGGGCATTTATCCTCCATATTTTTGTGCAAACCTGGGGAGGGGGTCCCCCAGATCTGCAGAAGAATACCCCCTAGCTGAGCCCTGCCCCATTTTCTGGGTCTGTTGATCTGCCTGGTGGGGGGCATGTATAGTACTAGATACAGGGTGCATGTGCCATTTTTGTTTTCATTTTCATATTTATTTATTTAGAAAACATTTATCCTTCCTTGTTCTCATTTAGTTGTGGTTGTAAGCATTTTTGTTGCAAATGTTCCTAATGTATTTGTGCCTTTATAGCCTTTTGGAGTCATTTGTATGTTACAATTAATATGCAGTTGAAGCAAAACAAAACTTTTTTAAAAATGTAACATTAAGGAAAACATTCAGCATGAAATATACAGAAGCTGGCACAAAAATGAAGACTCAGGTTCTACTCACATAAAGTAAAAACAAAACAGGGATTTGTGAATTTAAATAGAAGAGATGCAGGATTTAGTAGCATTCGCTTTGTGTATATGTTTATAGCACAAACTAACATCTGTATTGCCATGTTTGGTGTGCAGGAATGAACTATAATGTGAAGTTTTAATTATTTAGATATTCCCCGTTTCCCTCGGTGACTCAGGTTGGCTTACGAAGAGTTTGCATTTTAAAAAAGACAGCATAAAAACAACTAAAACCAGGACAATAAAACATCTGCTAAAAATCCACAGACTGCAATTGCCAGGCACCTGAAATAACAACACAAGGCAGCACAGATTAGCCTACATCGAAAACCCTTCTTAACAGCACTGTTTCACAGTCCTTCATAAAATCTTGCCAGCATGGAAGCCTTCCTAGTCCTAGCCCGAATAATATTGCTGTAACTCTTCTACAGATTAATCCCCGTCTAGATGGATGCATTCGGGCCTGGAACCTGATGAATCAAGGGAATTCTGGTGTGAAAGAAGTCATCCAAGAGAAACAAAGTAAACACTGTTTGGTAGCTGTTAGAAAGGGGTCTTACTACCCTGGTACTGGAGTGGCAAAGTTTCAAGTTAGCTACAGTAAGTATGTTCCCCACCTCCTGAGGCTATACTTTGGTGGTCACAAAATAAATAGAAATGAGAATGTATATTGCCATTCACCTTCATAGGCTCTCTATCCAACCATCTTGGAAGTAGGTTTGGTGTAGTACTAGACTTCCCAAAGAAGAGGCTGTATCCATTGGGGAATGGTCTGTGGCTCAGTGATACAGCATCTAGGTCCCAGGTTCAATCCCTGGCATTTCCAGTTAAAAGGCAGTAGGTGATTTGAAAGACCTGTGCCTGAGACCCTGGAGAGCCATTACTGGTTGAAGTAGATAATACTGATCTCAGTAGATGAATGGTCTGACTCAGTATAAGGTCAAGGACCTTCATAGGCTCTCTATCCAACCATCTTGGAAGTAGGTTTGGTGTAGTACTAGACTTCCCAAAGAAGAGGCTGTATCCATTGGGGAATGGTCTGTGGCTCAGTGATACAGCATCTAGGTCCCAGGTTCAATCCCTGGCATTTCCAGTTAAAAGGCAGTAGGTGATTTGAAAGACCTGTGCCTGAGACCCTGGAGAGCCATTACTGGTCGAAGTAGATAATACTGATCTCAGTAGATGAATGGTCTGACTCAGTATAAGGTGGCTGCCTGTGTCCATGAGTACTACTTACACAATCTGAGTTTTTTCATAGGTCCTAGCATCGCTTCTCTGTGTGGGTTGTGAAGCATGCCATATTAGCCGTGGAATGCTATTAAATCTTCCATTTGACAGTAATCACTTAGGACCAAATGAAATGTTATGTAGTGGTCAGAGTGTCAGACTAGGATCTGGGAGACTAAAGTTCTAATCTGCCATGGATGTTTACTGGGTGACATTAGGCCAGTCACATGCACTCCGCCTCGTACCTCACAGGTTTGTGGTGAAGACCGCCTTTTCCCCCATATGTTCCCCCAAGGGCACTACAGTCGGGGAGTCATCATCTCCTGGAAATTCCAGGCCCCAGGGACATTAAATTTGCAGTGATCAGAGCCAGGGCATTCTCGGTGGCGGCTCCTACCTGGTGGAAGGAGCTCCCAGAGGAGATCCAGGCCCTGCAGGATCTTTCTCAGTTCCGCAGGGCCTGCAAGACAGAGCTCTTCCACCAGGCTTTTGAGTAGGAGCTGCCGCCACCACTACTCCATCATTGCTATCTATGCACCATCGCACCATCACCACCACTATCTGGTTCCTTCGGGGTGTGAGGTGACCTGTCAGGAGAAGGGATGACAGACTATGGGAATGTTACCGCTGGGATTAAGAACTACCCCATCTTGTGACAAATGGAGCACTGATATTTTGTTAGTGTATTTTATTGTTTTCTTGTTATGTTGTTTTTATTTGTTTTAATCTTGGCACCGTGTGCCTCTTGTTAGCCGCCCTGAGCCTTCGGGGTAGGGCGGGATATAAATTCAAAGATAAATAAATAAATATAAATTCAAAGATAAAAAAGATAAAGTGGAGGAGAGGTGAATGCTGTTAGCCGCTTTGGGCCCTCTTTGGGGGAAAGGCAGAGTACATAAATGTAGTCACGATGTGACTGTGTCCGGACTATTGTCTGGAAGCTATTTTTTGATGTGGGGTGGGGTGCCTGCTTTTCTTAAATGTTGCAACCAAATAAAAATATTTCAGGGCATCTGGCATGTATCTTCTGTATCCTTTTACTGGGAACCTTCAAGGGCTGACTGGGACGCTTATAATTCCCAAAACAAAGTTATTGGTTTCACGTCAGACTTTGCCCCAGTAATTCTTAGTTTGTATCTATTTTGCCAAAGCAGGGATAAACTGGAAATAAATGAGAAAGCCAACTTTTGTGGCTTATTAATGGATACTTTTTTCTTCTTTGTTAAAAACAAAACTCAGATAACAGCCTCGCTGATACGGAGGATTGGTTGATAAATGTCACCCTGACCATCCGTCCATCTACAAGCACCGGCGTGATGCTTGCGTTGGTTTCTGGGGAGACCGTGCCTCTTGCTTTATCGATAGTGGAGTCCAACTCATCAAACTCCCAGGTAGTCCTTTGCTCCCACTACAGGCATGTATATGTGTCAACCTTTCTTCACGTTTGTAGTATGAGAGCCAGCGTGGCACAGAGTGTCAGACAAGGCTCTGGGAGACCAGTTCAAATCCCCCACTCTGCCACTGAAGCTTGCTGGGTGACCTTGGGCCACATGCACTCTCAGTCTCACCTCTTTCACAGAGTTGTTAAGAGGATAAAATGGAGGAGAGGAGAATCATGTAAGGCAGCACAGGTCCCCGTTGGGGAGAAACCTGGCATGAATATCTGATCTGACTGAAAGTCTTCTTTTTTTTTTTGACCACCAGAGGCCTAAGCCAAGATAACAACCTGAGAGTCATTGTTAAAGGTATTGCTTACGGCTTTAATTCTGAAAGGTGTAAATTGCTTTGTCGTTTCCACTGACAGCAGTAAGACTCAGCTGATTCAAAGGGGCAGCTGTAACACAGGATTTTCTTACTAGATGGTACCACTCCAGAATGCATGGGGGACAGGCAGAAGGTTACCTGTTCAGAAGCCCCCTATTGAAATCTCGCTGAAGAAACTTATTCCCAGCATGCAAGATTTCTGTGAACAGGTTTAGATGAGGGGTATTTTGAAGCAGCCCATCCCCCTTGGTGCATGGAGTCCTGTGAGATGACTGTACCACATCAGAAACTGCATGTTTTTCCTGGGTCCTAAAAACTTGAAGCCGTTTGAAACTTTTTTTATATATATATAAAAAATTTATATATATTGAGGGCTTTTATTTATTAAAACAGGCATACCTTTCCTTTGTGGCTTACAGTTCCAAGATAAGTATCACAGAAAATGCAATAAAGCACTGTTACCACCATCCCCACACATACACAGCCTCCCCAAGAAAATGCCTGCAGCTCAGACACCATTAAAAGGCTCTTGGTGGTGTACATAATTATTGTTTGCTTCTGGCTCCTAGGAACTCATTGCATCTATTGAGAATGTCATTGTTGCCCGTTTGGAATCAAAGAGGTTGTGTACCAGGAGAAGAGTGCTGGTGGGACTCAGAGTCAGCAGGCAGCTGCTTGAACTTACAGCTGATTCACATTCAGATATCACCCACTTAGATCAACAGTTTGCTGCCTTGGACCAAGCAATGAGGAGACCCATTGATACCTATTCCTGGTAAACGTTGTTTTCTTCCATTATAATTTAACTATTAATCCTAATTCTGTCACCAGCATTCCTGGTAAACGTTGTTTTCTTACAGAATAATTTAACTATTAATCCTAATTCTGTCACCCTAGCATTATTTATTTGTTTGTTTTAAAATACAAAATATCCTTTCTTGAAGTAATTTTCTGCAGTTGCTATTAAAGCCTAGTATTATAGTAGTAGTAATAATGCACTAGTTTAACACAAATAGAAGCAGAATCTATTCTGGGATGTGACCCTAGGAACCTCTGTTTTCTCATTCTGATTCTATATGCGGCCTCTTTTCTTTCTTCTCTTTTATCATATACCTCAAGCGCCCTCTACTGACAAGTCTGAGAACAGTGCTGGCATATAAAGTATTTACGTAAAGATAAATGAGGGAGATGGACTATAAGTGAGAGTTGGACTATAAGGAAGGCCGAGCGCCAAAGAATAGATTCTTTTGAACTATGGTGCTGGAGAAGACTCTTGAGAGTCCCTTGGACTGCAAGAAGATCAAATCAGTCAATCCTAAAAGAAATCAACCCTGACTGTTCCCTGGAAGGCCAGATAATGAAACTGAAGCTCAAATACTTTGGCCACCAACTGAGAAGGGAGCACTCACTGGAGAAGACCCTAATGCTGGGAAAGATTGAAGGTCAAAGAAGACGGGGACGGCAAAGGATGAGATGGTTAGACAGTGTCATAGATGCAACGAACATGAAGTTGAGCCAACTCCGGAGCACGGCGAAAGACAGGAAGGCCTGGCATGATCTGGTCCATGGGGTTGCGAAGAGTCGGACTTGACTGTGCGACTGAACGACAACAAAGTGAGGGAGATGTGTTTATGAGAATCCCCTTTCCTTGCCTTGCCTTTTTTTTTTTTTTTGCTTTAATAAGCTGCTTTTGGGGCACGAGTGACTTACAAAAATCCCATAAGTTTGATAAAGCCATGGATAAAATGTAATGTGATCTATTTGTATGTTATGTCTTCAGAATTTGTGTAGCATGTGAAAATCATAGAATCACAGAGCTGGAAGGGGCCATACAGGCCATCTAGTCCTACCCCCTGCTCAATGCAGGGTCAGCCTACAGTCTCCCGGACAAGTGTTTGTCCAGCTGCTGCTTAAAGACTGTCAATGAAGGGGAGCTCACCACCTCCCTAGGCAGCTGATTCCACTGTTGCACAATTCTTACCGTAAAAAAGTTTTTCCTAATATCCAGCTGGTACCTTCCTACCCTTAATTTAAACCCTATCCTCTGCTGCCAACAGGAACAACCCCCTGCCCTCCTCTAAGTGACAGCCCTTCAAATACTTAAAGGGAGTGGTCATGTCCCCCCTCAACCTCCTCTTCTCCAGACCTCTTAGCCTTTCCTCATAGGGCTCGGTCTCCAGGCCCCAGACCATCCTTGTCGCTCTTCTCTGCACACGCTCCATTCTGTCCACATCCTTTTTGAAGTAAGGCCTCCAGAACTGCATACAATACTCCAGGTGCAGTCTGACCAATACAGTGTATAGCGGGACTATGACAGTGTATAGCGGGACTATGACATCTTGTGATTTGGATGCTATGCCTCTTTTGAGATATCTCAAGATTGCATTAGCCTTTTTTGTTGCCACATCGAAATCATTTATAAAAATATTGAAAAGTGCCAGGCCCAGAACCAAGCCTTGTGGCACCCCACTGGATACCTCTCTCCATTCAGATGAAATGCCATTGACAACTACTCTCTGAGTGCGGTTCTCCAACCAGTTCCCTATCCACCTAACTATCCTACAGTCCAGTCCACAGTCCCTTAGTTTACCCATCAGAACATTGTGGGGAACCCTGTCAAAAGCTTTACTGAAATCACATCTGAAATTCATAGCTGCTGGATTTCTCTTTTTCCATTTTCTAATGAGTATAGCTGAGCTTTAGCAATGTCTACAGATTGGAGCAGAGGAGATTAAAATCAGTGATACTGCACTATCAAAGGCTGTGTTGACTCCACAAAGAAAACCTGTATCGATGGCCTGTCCATGCATTAACTGACCATGCAGGGAGGGAGAACAGGTATAAACATGCTGTTCCTGCCCTCCTTGCCTCCATGTGATCACCAGATCCTGTGCATAGAGGGAATGTGCAAAGTGCCCATGTATAGGCTCCCCCCCTTGATCAGCAGCGCTACTTTCTAAATGCCATTATAGAGAGGGAGTGTATACATGGACCCTTCCTCTGCACATTCATTCTCTGAAGATGATTTGATGATCATGCAGTATCAGGGAGTGGGGGGTCAGTGCACTCATGTCTGTTCCTCCTGTCTGTACAATGAGTTAACATGTGGAGAGGTCATTTGTATAGGGTGGAGATGTGTCATCCTTTGCTGCTCTGTCCTCAGTGTTGTACACTCAACACTCCATTCCTCCCAACCAGAAATACAGGTATCCCTGTTGCTCAGGAGGTATTTCATCATTTTCAAAGGAAAATCGTTAAAGATACGTTTGGCAAATAGGTGTATTGATACATTTGATATGTATTGAGATAAATACAGCTCTAGTGATGATAGTAGAGGGCATTTAGGGCTTTAAAGGTAATAACCAGCACCTTGAACCATATTTGGTATGCTATAGGCAGCCCAGTGCAGTGCTTTTAGGGTGGCTGGATGTGTTCCCGCACAGGAAGACACAGCATCAGCTGCGCTGCTGCATTCTGCACCAGCTGCAGCTTCTGGATTTGGGACAAGGGCAGCCCCATGTAGACAGCATTGCAGTAATCCAGTCTCAAGGTGACTGTTGTGTGGATCACTGTTGCCAGGTCATTGCATTCAAGGAAGGGAACCAACTGCTTAATCAGCCGTAGATGGTAAACAGCAGACTGCAGTGGCTGCTACCTGGGCCTCCATCATTAAGGAGGTGTCCAGGAGCACTCGCAAACTCCTAACCTCCGGTGCTGGCACCAACAGCGACCCATCGAAGGTTGGGATCCCTAACCTTGGACCGCTCCGAATCAGGCACAGGACCTCCGTCTTCGTCGGATTAAATTTCAGTTGACTCAGTCTAAGCCATCCAGCCACAGCTTTCAACGCCAGATCCAGATTTTCCAGACTAGAGTCTGACTGGCTGTCCAACAACAGATAGAGCTGGGTGTCATCAGCATATTGGTGACAGCCCAATCCATGTCTCCGAGCAAGGGGGCGCATGTAGCTATTGAACAGCATTGGGGAAAGCACTGCTCCTTGGGGCACTCCACAAATTAGCGGGTGCCTTCCGGATAGCTGTTCCCCAACTGCCACCCTCTGTCCCCTACCATGAAGAAACGAGGAGAGCCACTGCAAGGCAAACCCCTGAATCTTGGTGTCTGCGAGGTGGTGGATCAGTAGTTGATAGTCTAACAACCTCCGGAGATCATCTGTGAGGGTGACCAAGATCGTCTCTGTCCCATGGCCTTGACGGAAACCAGACTGGAAGGGGTCTAATATGGAGGCGTCATCCAAAAAACCCTGCAACTGATTCACCACCATTTTCTCAATTAATTTGCCCAAATAGGGCATTTCCTAGCTTTCTTTTTGGGTGGAAGGTAGCATGGTATAGCCTGATCCTGTAAGATTTTGGAAGCTACGCAAGATCAGTACTCGGAAGGGAGATCACCAAGGTAGACCCTGCAGAAGAAGGCAATGGCAAACCACCTCTGCTTCTCACTTGCCTTGAAAACCCCTTGCTGGGATCAATATAAGCTGGCTGCAACTTGATGGCACTTTACACACACACACAACTATCTTTTTGTGTTTCTTTTATATAAACTAGATCTTTATTTATATTCAATCTCCACTCTTCTTTTTATGTTTTCCTTTTTCCAATATTTTCCTCGCTTTTCCATACCTCCCTTATTCCCTGATCCCATTCATAAGAACATAAGAGAAGCCAATGTTGGATCAGGCCAGTGGCCCATCTAGTCCAACACTCTGTGTCACACAGTGGCCAGAAATACCAGGTGCCATCAGGAGGTCCAGCAGTGGGGCCAGGACACTAGAAGCCCTCCCACTGTTGCCCCCCCCCCAAGCACCAAGAATACAGTGCATCACTTTCCCCAGACCGAGTTCCTATCTATACCTTGTGGCTAATAGCCACTGATGGACCTCTGCTCCATATGTTTATCTACTTCCCTCTTGAAGCTGTCCATGTTTGTAGCCACTACCACCTCCTGTGGCAGTGAATTTCATGTGTTAATCACTCTTTGGGTGAAGAAGTACTTCCTTTTATCTGTTCAAACCAGACTGGAAGGGGTCTAATATGGAGGCGTCATCGAGAAAGGGAGAAAAGTACTTCTTTCTCAACCTGCTCTATCCCATGCATAATCTTGTAAACCTCGATCATATCACCCCTCAGCCGTCGTTTCTCCAAGCTAAAGAGCCCCAAACGTTTTAACCTTTCTTCATAGGGAAAGTGTTCCAACCCTTTTATCATTCTAGTTGCCCTTTCCTCTTTTTTCTTCCAAATATTAATTTGCAACCTATACACTATTATCCCCAAATTAAACACTTTTACCTCAGCCCCCGTCTTCTCTCTCTGTGATATTGTTGTTCATGTTTGCTCTTAAAATAAATGGAAAACTGATAAAAAGAAGCAGTCGAACTAGAATCCCACAAAGGTTTGTGTTGTTGTTTTTGCAAAATGAGCAATAAAAGCATCTTTTTCAATAGCTGAAATAGTATTTGGGAAACTTTCCATTTTATAACATATGTGCTCAGTCCAGATATGTGGTCCTCCTACGTTGTGCTTTGTTGATATATATTTCCAAATAAATGTAGGCACTAACGATCATGAGTTTTTCTGGCATCGTTTAAGGTTGTTTTTTTAATTAAAAACTGATGTTGCAAAAAATTGATATTGATTTTGTGGTGTTTTATGCAGATGTTCCAATTGATGCAACCCCAGTGACACTTTTTTATAATGGTTGCATGGAGGTGAAGATCAATGATAAGTATCTGGATCTGGATGACGCCATCTTCAAAAAG